GCGCTGCGGGGCTGCGACTCACCTCACTTGCGGCTGCTGAAAAAGTGCTTTGCAGCTGTCGTCAGGCGAGCCCGCGCGTGGGGCGGGGCGGAGAGCAGGGGCGGGGCCAGGGGAGGGGCGGCCCGCCCTCCGGCCGTGGGTGAGGGGGGAAGGTGTCGGCTTGGCGAGGGGGAGACCGAGCGTTCGAGTCCCGCCGCGGGAGGCTCGGGGCTGCCCTGGGGGTGGTGGGCACAGCCCCGCCGCCACCCCCTGCCCTTGTCGCCAGGTGGGCGTCAGAGCTACACCGCCAGGTCTAACTACACCGTGTCACAGCCCGCCACGGTAAACTCAGGATTAAAAAAAACCCAGACAACCCAAACCCAAAGCAACCCATCGTTGCACCCAGTTTTTCCGGTTGAAAGGCCAGGGTGGGGGAAAGAGTTAAGGAGAAATTAGTCAGCAGCACGAGCAAAGCTACTGGAACACGCTCAGGAATGACTCAGTAAGGAAGAAAGTAGGAACGAGGTCACCGTACGCGAACCTGCGTGGCTCAGACCCAGGACACCCCAGCACCCATGCAGCAAGCGAGGGTGACGGAGCTCTCCCAAGGCGCCGAGATGCTGCCACCACGTCGGACACCTCACGGCAGAGCGTCCCCCATTATGACAGCAGAAGCTTCGTCTAAGATGAACGGCACCAGGTCAAGCATTGCCCAGCATAAGCACAGAATTAAAAATAAATGAGAAAAACCAAGGGTACGGACTCCTGCCAGCCTCACGTGAAGTGACAGATCTGTTGGAGTAGGGCTGCACAAGCGATGGAACGTTAAGAGCGTCCGGAGGGTTTGGAAGTGGCTATAACTCCTTCTTCTGGCAGGTCAAGGCTCCAGGAGGGGCAGGGAGTGGGGGGAGATGCGTTTTTCCCATGTTCATTTGAGGGTGGTAGCAGAAAAACCTCTCCTTGGGTCATACCCATCTCCCGTCCCCTCTCCTCTGCTTCATCCCTCGGGGGGGGTGGGAGGGTGCCCGGTCCTGGCTTGACCCCGCCATCCACAAGCTGCCCACGCACCCCATCCCATGCGCCCACCGTGTACCAGTGGAGGTTTGCAGCAGGCCAGCACCATCGCACAGAACATCTCACAGTGGGACAGAAAACACCAATTAAGAAAACCCTTCACCCAGCTAACCTCAGAAATTTGGGGTTCTGATATTTAAAAATAAAAGAGAAAAACAAAATTTCAGCTAGGTTTTCCACTGCATCTCCTTCCCACCAGCAGCCTCACGTTCATGTCAGCTGCTCCACGCGTTCCTTGTGTCACCAGCAACCACACCATCCTCGTAAAGCCCAGAGTGAGCCAGCCTGCTCCAGAGGCTCCGGCTCTCGGGTGGAAAAGGGGTAATTTGCTTTTCCCTCCTGCCTGAGCTGATGCCTGCTGGTGAGCTGCCCACTGCACCGACGTGGCCTTTGCACAGCAAAGCATCGCGTTTGCTTTCTAAAACCCAACGTATGCAAGCTGTGCACACACCGCTTCTGAGCCAGCTGCAAAGAAAAGCTGTCCATTTTAGTTTCAAACAACTCTTTTAACACCAACAGGCATAGTCACACCTCTTTTTCCACAGGCAGACCAAGCCACCACTGGCAGGGGGAATCAAAGCATTAAAAAAGAAATCCCAGTCACATTTGGGAGCAGGACATCGGCCAGGCTCTGCTCAAAACACTGCATTTCTCAGCATCTCTCTTCAGGTCACAGAGCTGTCAAAGCAGGCGAGATTTTAATGTATACAGCCTGGAGCGAGCCCCAGGGAAATTAGCTTTCCCTTGAAGCCAGCTCCACATTACTCTATTTATTATTCATGCCTTGCTTGCTTTTTTTTTTTTTTTTTAAATCCAAGCACGGTGACATCTTAATGTGCTGAAAAGCGCAGAGGTGCTGCCAATTTTTCCCCTTCCTTCCAGCCCTCTGACACGTCTTTATTGGCTCAAAAAGGGAAATTAGCCTTTCGTCTCCGGGGAGCACAGGCTGATCCTTCATCATGAGCCACCCGTGGCACTCCGACTCACCATTTATGTATATATATATATATATATGGTGACATCCATAAGGATGCAGATGTCACCTGAAAGAAGAAATACCTAGCTAAAAATCTTGCACACCCCATTCATTTAATGGGACATCAAGGACACCCCAGCACCCACTTTTAACCAGGCAAGGGTGCACACCCCCCTCAGGTGGGGATGCTGGATGGAAAGCAGGTGGATGCAGATCAGCTGGGCTTTGCAGAAACTCTTCTCTAACTCGCTCCTGTGTTGGGCAATGCCCTTTGAGTGCCCAGCGCTGCAAACTGAGGAATGCAACAAGCTGGGCTTTCAGTAAAAAAAAATTCAGCATCTTTTGAAAAAGAGTGTCGCAAGTACGAGCTGAATTCCCTGTGTAGGTTCAGAGATAGGAAAGCAAGAAGAATAAAGGCCAAATACAACTGAGGGGAAAAAAAGAATCGTGAGCTAATTGATTTCTGGACGCACCTCTACCCTACCATCTGTTTTCCCACATCACCCCAAACGCTAACCTGGGACAGAGGAGGGCTCGGTGCTGCCGCGGCCGGTGCCTGAGCCGCAGCCACCTCCCAGCCCTGCTGCGCTGGGGCTTTGCTCTTTAAAATAATAACCGGTGTATTGAGAGGGGGCTGTCGTCCAGGGACTGTGCCAGCCCTTTCTATGTCTCTGAGCTTAAAATACACCCCTTAAATAACTGGGAGGGCAGAGCAAAGCTGCCGGGGAGCAGGCGAGGGCAGCGGCACTGTACAGCAGACGCGGTGGGTGCTTTCTGGGCAACTGCAGTGAGTCCCCCCAGGGTGAGGAGGGAGGTCCCGGGGCGCAGGCATGGAGTGGCAGTAAATCCCAGCTGGCTGAAAATCCCACCGCAGCATCCTGAAGGAGGGCGAGCGCAGGCACAGCCGGAGACGGAGCACCTCCTCGCAGCCCTGCCCGCCGCCAAGCCGCAGCCCTCTGCCTCCCCGGGCACGGGAGAATACCCCCCATGCACCTAAGGCATCCTCCCTGGATTCCCACAGGGGCTGGTTTCCTTTCAGAGCACAGCTCTTGTTCCATCAGCCAAGACAAGTAAAGGAAAAAAAACCCCAAGTCATTAGAAGGCAGAAAACCCACTCAAGGCTTCGTTTGCATAGATGGCGGTTGCACCACCGAAGGCAAGCAGCTCAAAGGTTGCTTTTAGAGCCACCTGCTCTGAAGGCAACGGGAAGGGGGTTTGCACAGGGGACCATCAGTTCTGCAGGCAGCCTAGAGACCCACTGGGGACACCTCTGTCTCCTCTGGGCACACCTGGGTGCCTGGAGAGGCTGTCCTGGGCAGAGATGCAGCTGCAAGCTGCATTGATTTGTTTGGGGGTTTTTTTGCACAGCTGAGACGGCAGTTGTGAAAATTCCCAGCTGCCCCCAGCACCTATTCTGCTCCTAACTCAGCCAGCACCAGCGAGCTGCCCTGGGACACGGGGACGTTTCTCCTTGTGGACACTTCTGTGCCACAGGTTGCGTTTGGGGGCCAGCAGCAGCTGGTATCTGCGGCGGTGTCGGGGATGGAGCTGCACCGTGTGTCCATGCCAGTGACCAGGCGCTTTCCCCAGCTGGGGCTGGTGAAGGTCATGAGCAGAGACAGATTTGGGCAACTGAAACCAAACACCCCGAGAGTGACTGGAGGGACCCTGCCATGCTCCCCCAGTGACACCACGTGGGATGGCCTTTTCAAGGCAGGTTGGGCAAAGCACTGTCATTTTAGGAGTCTGCAACTCTGACAACCAGGGCAGTAACAGGTAAAAATTGAATTTAAAAAAAAATAAAAAAATCCTTCTGACTCTCCAGATTATGGAGCAATTCCTGGAAAATACCTGAGTCTGGTCCCAGGGGTCAGAAAATGCACGGCTTTATGAAAATAATAATAACTTTTTTTTTTTTTTGAAGACTAGCTCAGTTGTTAATGTTTCAGACCAAAGGAACCACAGCAGGTGCATCCATCAGACACGATCCCTGTTCCCTACTACCAAAGGCTTGTGATGCCATCACATTTTGGTGTGGGATCAGCAGCTGTAGGGAATTACTGGGTTTTTACTCAAGTTTCCTAAATTCCACACATCTGTGGGGAGATGTTAGCAGAGAAGAGCTGGGCTTTGCAATCCAGCCAGTTGAAAGAAAGGGGAAAAAATGCAAAAGCTACCAGGAGAGACTAAAATGCACCAGGGCTTGCAGGGCATGGGGCTGCAGCGGTGCGAAGGGGAAAGCGCTGGCGGCCCACGGCGAAGGTGAGCTGCCCTCTCCCGATGAGATTTAAGAGCAACGCAAATCAAGTCTGGAAGGAAATCTGCCCTGCAGCTGCCCGAAAAAATGCGCTGGAAACACACCCCAAACTCGGCAGTGCTGTTTTGGTCTGGGGAAAGATATTTGCTATAAAGCTCTAAAGTTGCTCTTATATTTGTGGAGGTGCATTTCCTGCTGAAAAGCTTTGGCTTTGCAGTTAGAAACGTTTCCAAACAGCCTTTGCAGCTCCTCTGGCTACAGACCACGGGGGGGCTTTGCTCATGTGCCAGGGGAAGTGCTGGGGGGGGGGACGGGGACGGTATCCCAACTCTTCAGGGGGATTTATCCCACAACCAAGAGCTCTGGGGTGCCCTGGGTCCCACCGAGGTGGGCAGCACCCATGGACCCAGCTCGGGCAGAACGCCGCCGCGCGCTGCGCCCCATCAGTGCCAGGGCGGGGGTCCCCGGCCGGGCAGGGGCTGGCAGCACCGAGCCTGGCCCTTCCCAGGGGAGACCCCTGGCTCCATTTTTCCCTGGCTCAGCGCTTCTCCCTTCCTCGCCTGCACTCAGCACGCCCTGCCGGGATGTTTTCAATCACCCAGAAACGCGCTGGAGCAGCAGCCAAGGTTAACACGGGCAGAATGTGCAGCGTCAGCACCCGCCTGGGGTGCGAGGAGCTGCCCCGCTGCTCTGCCTGCGGATGCTGCAGCCAAGGGGCGGTGGGGCAGAAAGTGCCTTTTTTCAATGGGCTGGTTACCTGCTC